TGTTGTGTACGTGTGTACGTTTGTATATGGGGAGTGGTGGTGAAGCATCGTATCATCCAAGATCGATTAGCTTTCACTGGCTAACAGCAGTGACGATTATCTGAACTTGTCCTGGGCCTCCCCTAGGTCGTCTCAGCTCTCCGATGAGTACCTGGTGCGGTGTGTAAACATCGCTACTCGGGAGACAAAGGCGGCTGGGCATGGTGATGGCCACTCGCCCCCTCGTGTGTCATGCCGGCATTAATTGTTGCTCGCTAACAGCCCTTGCCCCAACCGTCTGTTGAAGGCTACACGGGGGGTCTTTGTCTCTACATGTCTTGCATCTTAATGGTTGCGTCTGTTCGTAATGCACCGAGCAAATTCAAAAGATCCGCTGCGTGAGGTCATTTCAAAACATCTCCATGACAGCTCTGCTCTACAATGCACCGATAAACCAACATTTTAGCCCTTGTTAGCATTTAATAAGCTTATCATAAATATATGAAAGTAGGGGAGAAAAAAAACACCTAAAATATAAATGAGCGTCGTATCCGGAGAGGGTTAGCTCAGCTTTTGGTTTTGTTTACCAAGTTGATTATTATCGGGAGGCGAGCGGGGTATATTTTTTTTCTCTGCTCAAGGCCAGCTTTAGCTTTCCCCTGCATATGAAATGCACTGCTATTCAAACATCTTCAATCCCCAGAGGAATGAGGCTCAGGGCAAATCCACCGCGACACAAACCTATCGGCTGTTATCGTCGTATTTGTCTTCGCATCACACGCGTCCGTCTCGTGAAATGTTAAGCAATACCGCACCACCACAACCACCACGGCGGCGGCGGGCGACAAGGTGAAGCTAACCACGTGCCCTAGTGCAGGGCATTCATTTGGACCCTCTGTCCGTCTCCCCCCCTCAATCTTCATAGTCAAGCGCCTGCCTGCCCTCCACTGCCCCCCCCCTCCCCTCCCCCACAGTGCAGAGGCACCGACTACACACACAATAATTGCACCACTGGGTCCGACCTAGGTTCATGAGTCCTGTGCCAGCCTTGCCACGTGCTGTGTAAAGTCTCCGCGGGTCTCCGCGTGCATCTATCGAGTCACCGTGTCAGTCGACTGGTGGTCTGAGTGGCGTAGCGGTGGCGAGGAACGCGGAAAGCACCCATCCCTGGGTCCTATTTGCCCCCCTCCCTGTGTGGCCCGGGGCCTGTGGCAGAGGTCGCAATCGGGTACCCGATACCCGTACCCTACCAGATACCCGGCTACCCGTACCCGGCCGGGTACGGGTACCCGTTTGCGACCCTGATGCGGCCGGGTACGGGTACGGGTAGACCGTGAGTCACTGGTGAGTAACTGTTTGTCACTAATTTCCCAACGTCTTGTCTCTTCTCACAATTCAAGTTCCTTGAATCAACCCACCCGCGCCTGCAACATGGCTTCATCCCAGAGGTCGCAATCGGGTACCCGATACCCGTACTCTACCCGATACCCGGCCGGGTACGGGTAGCCGGGTATCGGGTAGGGTACGGGTGCCTGTTTGCGACCCTGGTGCGGCCGGGTACGGGTAAGGAATCAAAACCCGTTTGCGACCTCTGGCCTGTGGGGAGCCTCCGGGGCCCACGGGCCTTGGTGCAGTTGCAGGTGCTTTATGTTGAACTTCATTCGCACCGTGGGTAGCCACAACCGTGCTAATCGGAGGCGCAGTGGCATCAGCCGCACGCTCGATGGTTATGCCCGGACCACCACGCTGCGTGGCATGGACGTGAGCTGCAGCGCCAACCGCGACGAGTCAACTCGGTCTCGACGTGACGCAGACCAATGTCAACAAATGCACGATGCATCTTGTCTCTTTCATTGGTCCCCCCCCCGCCCGCCTCCCACCCACCGGTTATCATTCAATTTTGCTGCACATTTACGTTCAGAATTCTGCAGCAACCGGTACAGGATCCGGTGTTGGCTCGGGAAGTTGATGTCTCAGAAGTACTTCTGCAGTCACCTCAATCAGCCGCTGTATATCTACTGCCAGGGGGCACGGTGTCTCCGTGCCATGCGAATTGTCTGTCACATCAATCAAACCACCTCTAATTTATCATTTCAAAATCTCAGAGCTGGCAGAAGACACATTTTAAGCGAAAGACGAAACGCAATTGATATTCGTGAACAGTCATTTTGGTTACGGGGCTGAAACCGTCAACTCACTCCACCCAGATTCGAACCCAAGGGTCTCAGCGACGCCGGCTCAAGAGCTCCGTTACCCCTGGGGCCACCGTCGAAAGGCGGCCCGATCGCTTCCCTGCCGTCCAGTGGCCGGACACGTGGGAATATTCGCCGGTTAACGTCAGAAATACATCGAGTGCTTTGTTAAAGTGATCTTCGAGAGGTATGCCCCCTTCTCAACCCCCCACTCTGCTGCCCCCTTCTCAACCCTCCACTCTGCTGCCCTCTTCTCAACCCCCCACTCTGCTGCCCCTTCTCAACTCCCCACTCTGCTGCCCCCTTCTCAACCCCCCACTCTGCTGCCCCCTTCTCAACCCCCCACTCTGCGGCACGCACGAGCGTGAGCGCTGAATTCCCAAGCGTGTGTGCGAGCGAGAGAGTGCAGTGCCTGTGTGGTGTGTGTGGTGGGTGTGTGTGTGTGGTGTGTGTGTGGTGTGTGTGGTGTGTGTGTGGTGTGTGTGTGGTGTGTGTGGTGTGTGTGTGGTGTGTGTGGTGTATGTGGTGTGTGTGGTGTGTGTGTGGTGTGTGTGTGGTATGTGTGGTGTGTTTGGTGTGTGTGGTGTGTGTGTGGTGTGTGCGGTGTGTGTGGTGTGTGTGGTGTGCCGACCGTTCGCTCGCCACTGGGCCGATTTGCACAGAGTCTGTGGGGGGGGGAGGGAGGGAGGTTCAATTCCCATCGCTGTTGCCACAGTTTCTACGGTGAGCCGTCAACGGACACGTCTATTATTGTGAAGTGAACAGCAGTCTCGTGTGTACGTTGAACTCCTTTCGCACCGCACGTGGCCCACCACGATAATCGGATGTCCCGGGGAAGGACAGCAAACTAACGCACAAAAAGCAGTTTCAAACGAATGAGTTTGTCAATATCGATGATGATGTAAAAGTGCACACATCTCCGGCGGCTTCCCAATATCTGAAGGGGGAGAGCGTTCCAGACGGCCGCGGAAGCGCCACCTGAAAGCGCTGCGCGATGAAGCGGTGACCGTCGCCTTTGTTCGATGACGAGACACAAAGCCGCTGCGGTGATGACTGCAGCTAGCGCGGTGGTTCACGTTCATTGGCGACTGAGTATGTGTATACGTACGTTGGACTTCTTTCGCACCGTACGTTGCGAACCACGCTAATTTGGAAGTGGGGGGAAGGACGGCAAACTGAAGACAAAAAGCAGCTCCATGGGTCTCTGGCGTCGCATGCAATCAGTGGCCACTGTCCAAATGTACCAACTGCCTGGGTTTTCGCGGTTGTGCTCTATAGCTCTCCGTTGTGCCTTTGGGTTATATCGCGTGTTGTCCGACGTTTCACTCCCACACGCCCCGGGACGATTTTCAGGTTTTTTGGATATTCGGTTCCTCCAGAAGCTCCCAGCACGTGGAGCGAAACGTCAGACATCGTGCGGAAACAACACGCTGAGCACAGCACGCAATGCATCAGCGAGCACGGTGACATCTCTTGTGAATGTGTTTGTGATTTATTGAACGATGTTTGTCATTCCATTTATTAAGCAGGGTGCCACGGTGGCGAGATCGTATCTCCCTCGCCTCAATCAATCAATAAATCTCTATTTTACGTTCCCAAAATCGCCCTCAATAAAGTTGGCATCGGTGCACATTACGACAGAACGTGAACGGTACCTCCTGGCATGCAGGAGGTGGTGGGTTCGATTCCTACTCTGACACCTGTATATTTTGAGTTTGCGTGTCTCTCTCCACGTGGTCGCGTGGATTTATCTCCGGTTTCTTCGGTTTTCCCACCACGTTTGGAATCAACGTCACGCGTTTAGAGTTTTGGCTGCTGTACATTTACACCCGATAAGCCACTTCCTTGAGCTATCATTTGTGGCCAGGTCGCTTTTGAAAAAGAGCTACACTGCTCAGTAAGCTTTACCTGGTAAAACAAAACAAATGTTGAAATATAGTTGATACATCGGAGCTGGGCGAAGATGAGCATTGCTACAAAAACATTCGGCGAAAACAAAATCACCTTTCTAAAATTTCAAGTTTGATTTTTGAGAGTGCATGACCTGACCTGGAGGTCGGACAAAAACGTTGAATTGAGTGATTTGTTGGTCGCAATCGCTCGCGAGAATCACGTGATGACGGATGTCTCCTTTTACACCAGTGCAGCCATTTGACGGGCGCACCAGAGGTCACTTGAAATGTATCTCAGAGGTAGCTCTGTGATATCCCCTTCCGCGATGGTTTGCCCCGCCCTGAGAGATCTGAATGGATTCTTCATCCCATGCCAAGATGCCGATAGCAATTCTGGGATAACATTATTTAAACGGCGAACGAATACATAAATGAGTGTTTGCGAATGGAGCTGCAGCTGCCGCTGGATTGTGACGAAGACGACGGTGGTTTCAACAACAAAAAATTAACCCGTAAAAACAAAGTTTTTCACTATAAATCCTTTATATGCGTGGCGGCTAGAGTCCTCTCGTCCTCTGGCTTGAGATGGCTGCCACCTATGGGTCAGATGATTGCCTGCCACCATTAAGCAATTGGTAATTAAATATAATTGATTTTTTCCTAAAAAGTGTAAAATTTTGGAGAAAAAAAATTTCACGAAAATAAATTGTCACGCACAACGAGTCTGTGTGCAAAATGTCAGCTCGATTGGATCACGGGAAGTGGGTTAAAAAACAAGCGAAAGATTTGCACGGTCGTAAGCGCGCGCGCAAGCAAGCAAGCGAACTTAATATAAAGGATTTAAAAAAGAAGAAGAATTATAATCGCCGTCGGACCGTTCAATAACGGAGAGCCACCGCGCTGTTGCCGCTGGCTGAATGAGTGCGGGTCCGCTCACTTCCTGGGTGGTGCTCTGTGGGGCCGTGCCGCCTCTGCATGTAGACGGCGAGGAGGAGAGCGGCTGCCCCGGCCGCCACGAGCCACAGGAAGGCGCGGCGAGCGGGCATCCCTCGAGACACGCGCCCCATGGCGGCCCCCCCCCGCCCCCCCTCTCGACGCACGCGCTCTCACTCGGAGACTCCTCGCTCGCCTTCGTCTCGTCTGGGTCGATCGCCCGCCCGCTCGTTCACTCGCTCCGAGGCCGGCCCGCGAGCTGGCGAGAATGACAGCGATTCTCACCGACGCTGCGGAGAGAAATTGACAGCGGCACATGTTTTACTGTTGGCGTCAGTGACCTGTAAGGCAAAATGCAATGATACCGGTAAGCACGACGATTGGGGTCAGACGCTGTCTCCCCGACATACCTGGTTTTCACCTGAGGACGGCTGCTTGCGTTGTGGCCGAAACGTCGTGAGAATTATTTTATTGTGTTTTATTTTCATTATTTTATTACTTCTACGTGACTTTACCGAAAGAACCAAGAAGATGAATCCCTGCAGTCACGAAAGCTTTAAATCGAAAAATGTGCGGGTAATTACACGTAGTGGTAATAATAATAGTAGTAGTAATACTTAACAAACAATGGCTGGGGAAATGTGTTGTACTATATAATCAAGGGTCACCGCGGAGATGGAGCAATGAGATTTGCTCACGTGGGTGGTGACATCACAGAGCCGTGCGCGATGGGGACAGCGTGCAGAAGCCTTCGTTTGGCAGCGAACAGATCGTGGCTGGTGACGACGAGGACGCTTATGAAGACCGGTCCTGGACCTCCACTAGGTCGACTCAGCCTCAAACTAGTACCTGGTGCAGCGTGTAAACATCGCCAGTCGGGAGACAAAGGCGGCCGGCCGTGGTGCTGGCCACCCACCCCCTCGTGTGCCGTGCCGGCCTTCATAGGTGCTACTCGCTAACGGCACTTGCCCTAATAGTCTGTTGAAGGCTATACGGGGAATATTTGACCTCTGTTACCCCCCCTCCCCCAATTTATTTCGGTGCGGCTGTCTCCAACTGCCGGCACGGTGTGGCGTAGTGTGGTGTGGGGTGGTGTGGGGTGGGGTGGGGTGGGGTGGTGTGGGGTGGTGTGACGTGGTGTGGGGTGGTGTGGTGTGGGGTGGTGTGGTGTGGGGTGGTATGACGTGGTGTGGAGTGGTGTGGTGTGGGGTGGTGTGGTGTGGGGTGGTATGACGTGGTGTGGGTGGTGTGGTGTGGGTGGTGTGGTTGGGGTGGTGTGACGTGGTGTGGGGTGGTGTGGTGTGGGTGGTGTGGGTGGTGTGACGTAGTGTGGGGTGGTGTGGGGTGGTGTGGGGTGGCGTGGGGTGGCGTGGGGTGGCGTGGGGTGGTGTAGGGTGGTGTGGTGTGGGGTGGTGTGGTGTGGGGTGTGGTGTTGTGGGGTGGTGTGGTGTGGGGTGGCGTGGTGTGGGGTGGTGTGGTGTGGGGTGGTGTGGGGTGGTGTGGGGTGGGGTGGGGTGGTGTTTCCGTTGGGAGGGCTGCGGCTGCGGTGCTGGAGTGGGGTCCAGGGTCGTCTCAAGCGGTGGACGTCACAGACTTTCTAACGACTGCATTTTGCACGCGGGGGATGTGCAACGGAATAGGTTTTTTTTTTGTTATCGATGGCAACTTTTTTTGTTGCCAGTACCCAAAATGATGACAAGTTAAGTTTTATCCCTGGTTCTCAGGTGTGGTCCCCCTAGTTCTCAGGTGTTGTGCCCCTGGTTCTCAGGTGTGGTACCCTTGGTAATCAAGGGGCACATTTGTTCACGTGACAACTTTTAGTTGATTGGCTGTGTCGGATGGAGGTGGCTTGACGACACACAGTGAACTTTTTCGATCCAACCCAAAAACAATAATAATAATGAATCCGGTGTTAACGTACTTACAAAAAGAATATTAAATTCACATTCAAATTTGACAGTGCCTCAAATACATTTGACTCCCACATCATTACAATGATTGCTTTTTTTTCACCCACGATTCAAAACTATTCCCAAGTCTCAACTAACAAAAAAAACTAAAATAACGCGGTTACTTTCTTCGGAAACTGTTTTGTTGTTTGTTAACCGAACTCACAGGGCATAGCCTTTACATAACTCTTCATCGATGTCATAGATCGTTGTGGTTTTATTTTTGGCTTGAATGAGCCCTTACGTGAAAACGACTAAACTGAGAGCTGTGACTGACTCGTGGAGGGACCAATGCAAACTCTCGCAAAGTAAAGCTGCAATTATCAACGGCGAAGCTCACACGAAACAGGGACATTCGCTAACAGGGTGAACCCCCCCCCTCTCCCCCTGCTATAATACCCCCCCCCCGTCCCCATCAGACGTGGAGCACAGCATTTACCGAGAACCACACGCACAGGACCACAGATGCCTCTCACTCACCGTTGCCTGCCACAGAGCAAACCGACCGCGGGCTACCAAAACAACGGTGACGTTAAATTTCGATTCAAAGCTTTCGTGACTGCAGGGATTCATCTTCTTGGTTCTTTCGGTAAAGTCACGTAGAAGGGAAGTAATAAAATAATAAAAATTCAACATAATAAAATAATTCTCACGACGTTTCGGCCACAACGCAAGCAGCCGTCCTCAGGTGAAGACCAGGTCTGTCGGGGAGACAGCGTCTGAATGATTTCCTCATTACCTGGTTTGTATTCAGACGCTGTCTCCCCGACAGACCTGGTCTTCACCTGAGGACGGCTGCTTGCGTTGTGGCCGAAACGTCGTGAGAATTATTTTATTATGTTTCATTTTTATTATTTTATTACTTCCCTTCTACGTGACTTTACCGAAAGAACCAAAACAACGGTGTCGTTGTCCCGCAGACGGCTCTCTCGTCTGGCCTCACCTCCTGGCCCCGCACGCTCCCCCCTGTCGCCTCGCCCAGGGCGTCTGCCCACACCTCGCTCGCCCGCCCACGCCCCAGGCGTCTGTCGACCCAGGGAAGGCAGCCTTGACCTGCCACGCTCACCTTGACTCACTCGTCCTGTCCTCTCCACTCCCTCCCTCGCTCTGTATCTCTCCTTCCCTCTCTCTCTCTGTGTGTCTTTCTCCCTCCCTCTCCCTGCCTCATTCCCTCCCTCCATCTCTCTCCATCCCTCTCCCTCCCTCCCTCTCCTTCCCTCATTCCCTCCCTCCATCTCCCTCCATCTCCCTCCCTCCCACTCCCTGCCTCTCTCTGTCTCTCTTTTCCTGCGGGACCAGCAACAACGGACGGCTGCTTTGGCCGTAACGATGACAGCGGAACAGAGGCACGCTCCCGGCGCCGCGTGGTCGCACCTGTGCCGTCTGTTCCGCCGCTGGGCAATGGCGACGCGTTTGGTGTGGTGGGGGGGTGGAGGAGGATGTGAACAGATTTTCGAAGCGTGGAAGCTGAATCATCTCGGGAAGAGCGCCAATGTCTTCCGCCGCAATTGGTTTAACACAAACAAGAAGACCCCAAAACGTTGGCCCGCTATCGAACGGGCCACTGACGCTGTCGCCGTTCACCTGGGCACGTCAGCCGCACCTGTGATCCGAGTTACGAGATTTTGACGCTGATCGTCGTTGGCAGGGCAGCCGGCTCCCTTTTAGCCAGCGGCATATTACATGACGCACCGCGCGCGGTTTTTACTTGAGCGGACCGATGTCAATCCTTTACGTTCGTTCCGTGCGCTCGTAATGCGTGACCTTTTAAAATGTTTTTGCGTGTTCCTCCAAACGCACGAGCGTCACGGGCCCGTGTTATATCCACTGCTGGATAAAATAAATCTCCCCCACACCACTGCCCCCCACCCCTCCCCCCCCCCCCGGGGATGGGGGTGGGGGACACTCGTTGGCATTTCCTTGCGATCGCGCGATACCACGACCCATCTCTGCCTCGTGCGTGAACTCCATCTCATCGCTGCATCTCCACGGTGGGAATACTCTCGAGGGGGGGGGGGGGCGCGAGATGATCTTTTCTGGCTGCCATTCTGTCACCGATCTCGTCCACGCGCGACCACCCCCCCCCCCCCCCCCCCAGGAACGGTCACGTGATCGCACAACTCCGCTTGCTTTCGTGTTTCCTGATCCGAATCCAACTCAATGTGGAAACTGCACTGTGATCGCAATCATCGCCCCCTCTATGGCAGACTAATGCCCGTTTTTGCGCGAGTCACCGCGTGCTCACAGGGACAGCTGCTGCTGGGGGTGCCCCCCCTCAAATCGCGTTGAGACTCAATGCGACGCAAAAGCGCTCTTGAGATGCTCCGGCGAGAAGTGCTCCGTGTCAAACACGATCCACGACCGTGACTCTCCATCAGTGCGCGCTATTCTTTGTGTCTTAGTGTAGTTCCAAGCAAGCTTTTAAATACTGTACGCGTACAGGTAAATAAAGTATATTGATTAAACAACGAGAAACAAGTAAGGAATTGGTATTAACACTGCATTAACATTGTGCTTAAGAAGAAGGAAAACTTCGATTTAAAGCTTTCGTGACTGCAGGGATTCATCTTCTTGGTTCTTTCGGTAAAGTCACGTAGACTTTACCGAAATAACCAATAAGAAGGGAAACGTCTATTCCTGTGCTGTGCGTGAGTGTCCGCTGAAGTTAAGTGCCAGACTGGCCTTAATAGACACTCGCTAATGATATTTGCCATCGCAGTCTATAGCACGAGAGAAAATTATTCATGTCTGCATCTCGTGTGCTCTGCATTGCACGGGTTAGTTGCAGCAGCAATCCACGTGCAGCAGCTGCACGGATTGCCACATCGCAACACCGCACGGCGTCACGACAGCTTGGTGAGGCCTTCATCCAGCAGTGGATTGGTCATGGCCGACTGACGACGAGGACAGTAGTTGAGGTCATGCGGTTTAGGTTAGTGTCCTCTTACGATGCCTGGTGTTGGTGCAGCGGTTACCGCGCTGCGAAACCGAGCAACCTACGTTTGATCCCCAGCCGTCGGCGAACAAGAGTCAGTGGTATCTGAACCAATCCTGGGCTATTCCACTCACCCCCCCACCCCCCTTGTTTCACCAACTCGCACTGACCAGCGTGGTCAAGTGGGTCAGCAGCATCCAGTGACCGACACGGACGAGATTAACAAAGGGCCGTCATTATTGAGGCTTCATCTCTCACCCGATATTTTTGGGAAACGCTGTTAGTCAGCCTCGGAGTAGGGATTGACGGCGTAAGGCACTACCAATACACGGTATGCCTCATAATAATAACAATCCTATATCATTGCGCTCTATATTCACACAATACTATGAGCGGGTTTACAGTA